TGGGAGCTTTAGTTTGTTAAGGAGGTAGTTGTTAGGAGAACCCCTATTCCCCATGCAATTTCCAGAGTGGTTTATTAACAACCAAACCCTTTCTCTAGATAACTCTGGGAAATGTAGTTCTGGAAGGGCAAAAAAGGTTTCCTAGCACCCCTTCAGCACCCTTAACTGCTGTTCCCAGGATGTTTTGAGGGGAGCCGTGGCTGTTTAAAGTTGTGCAATACTGCTTTAAATGAATAGTGCAAATGGAGCCCTTGTACAAATCAGGCATGATAATAAACTAAGATAATGACTACACAGACCTTGATCAAAGCTCTTTGGTCAACAGAAAAGTTTGTGAAGGATAGATATTTTGTTGTTTCCATAGTACCTCTGCAGTGTATTTTATAACAATAATTTATTTTATTAAATCTATGGTGGTAGTTGAAGGCAGTGTACATGGTTCTCCTCCTGCCATTTTATTTTCACAACAATCTTCTGAGGTAGACAGTGACTAGCCCAGTGGGACTAGGAACACTTTGAGGGTCTGCGCCTGCCTTTGCTCCTCTCACTTCATACCTCTCCTGGTCCTGGAAGACCAGTGGGTGAGGGGAGAGGAATCTTGTTGCCGCAGGAGGGGGAGACCCCCTGGTTTGTTCACCAGCTCAACTCATCTCTGCCTCTTGGCCTCCCTCCTCTACTGCTTCAGCTTCTGCCTCTGATTCTGGACTGCTCTCTGCACAGACTCTTCCTGCTCACTAAACCCTGTTACCGCTTCAGCTTCTGACATCTCCTCCTCCTAATCTTCTCTTTCCCACCACCAATCCCCAGGCTCTGAGCCTTCTTCATTCGGGGGAATCCCCAACTGGTGCCTCCAGTCAGTCCATACAGGGGTCAGCAAACTTCTTCAGCAGGGGGCCGGTCCACTGTCCCTCAGACCTTGTGGGGGACTGGACTATATATTTTTTTTTTTTGGGGGGGGGAAATAAACGAATTCCTATGCCCCACAAATAACCCAGAGATGCATTTTAAATAAAAGCACACATTCTATTCATGTAAAAACATGCTGATTCCCGGACCGTCCGCGGGCCGAATTTAGAAGGTGATTGGGCCGGCCCCGGCCCCCGGGCCATAGCTGTCAACTTTCAGATTTGAAAATAAGGGATCAGCAGCCTCAAAAATAAGGGATCAGTAGCCTCACCTGTCCTGGAGACAATCTACGGGATATCTAACAATCCGGGATAACAGCGGGAAGCAGCGGGAAATGGTGCTGGAATAAGGGAATTTCCCGCAAAAAAAGGGAAGGTTGACAGCTATGCCCCAGGCCTTAGTTTGCCTACCCATGGTCCATGACATGGGGTCTGTTAAGTTGTGGGTGAACATATCAGACGACACAGCGATTCTTCAAACAGCTCTTGTTTATTCACAGGCCAGGACAGAACTGAACTGAAGGACTCAGTCAGCCTGCTTATATAGAGCTCCAGTGCCACGTTACTGTAACAACTTTCTAAAACTATCCAATCACCGAACGTCACTTTCGATCCTTCATTTGCATAACTATCTACAGCATCCCCCTGCTGGTCCAGGGTGAGAACTTCAGTACATAACAGGGTCCGAATGCTTCCCTGGTGGGGAGGGGGACACCATTTTGTGGTTTGCCTCGGGTGTCAAAATGTCTTGGGCCAGTCCTGCCTATAACTGATCAGCCCCCCCCCCAAAGGTGCCCCCAAACTTTGAACCCAGTCCTCTAGGGCAAGAGTAGAGGAATTGTTTGCCCTCCAAGTGCTGTTGGACTCCTCTGCTTCCATCTGTCCCAGCCGGCATGGCCAGTGGTCAAAGCTGATGCGAGCTGCCGTCTAACAAATGAGGAATTGGGTAGATCTGCAATGCAAGTAGGATTTTTTAAATTTTTATTATTATACTATTAAATATGTGTATTGAATGAATCTATTTAGTCAATAAATATATGTATGTCAGGAATCGAATGTGCTGCTTTGCTGTGGATCTACTAAACCAGTTATTAAATGGCCAAAAAAGGAAAATAAAATGCTGGATTGTTTTATTGATGTATATTGGCAGCTCGCCGTACCTCCCCGGGGGACATTTAAAAATGGATTCTCCTATCTGAACCTGGAAATCACACACACACACACACACACACACAGCCAGATGCCTCTCTCTGTGTAATTATGTTCTTATCTTTGTGGACCAGGCAGTGATACTAGAGTATGATGTCATTTAGAACGACAGGGCTTGAATGGAAATAGGAGAGGAGGAAGAACTGGCAGTAACAACTGAGCGAGGAAACTGTGGTGCTAACAACAGAGATGAAGCCTGGCTGTGTCAGCTGCTCTGTGTGCAAAGACGCAAAAAGTGTGGTGAGCGACATACTTTGCATTTTTGGTGGAACAGAACTACAGATCCCATCATCCCTGATCATCCATCACACAGACTAGGGCTTATGGGAGTGGGAGTCCAGCAGCTGTTGGCTTCGCCTTTTGAATGCCCTTCTTCTGTTGCTCGGGCAACAGGTGTCCTTTCCCTCCAGCCCCACCCAGCCCCCCAAAAGAGAAGAGAAAATATAGAAGTAGAGACAGGAATCTCTCATCTAACTAACATTATAGTGTGATTTTGTTATTGAGATTTTGAACAGTTAAAAGCACAAGCTATCTGCATGCAAATCCACAGAGGATGAGGCGTCTGCATGCAAGTGAGCATTGGATTTGATTCCAGGGATATTCTCCATAGACAATTTTTTGTATTTATTGTTATTATTACTTTATTTACAACATAGTCCACAACAACTCATACATGCAAACAAACCCACCACCATTGACAATTTAATTATCAAAATTAAACTCCTATCCCCTTTCACAAAGAAAACATAACATAAAAATAAGAGACTTCCTTTATCCTGTAAATGGCCTCGTTATTTACTTCTTGTATACTGTTTCTTTTATATGTGATTATTACAATTTTTTCTAATTATGACTTAACCGCAAAGTCTCCTGTAGAAATTAATCGAAACAAGTCCAGGTGTACCGTATATTTGGGGGCACTGTTTGGTAAAGCACTCTCTGCATTTCCCCCATTCTTTTTGAAATTCTTGTCTTGGCCTCTCCATAGGCAATTTAAGCAGATTGACAGTGTGCAACCTAAGGGTTTGTTTTGTATTGGGGTTTTTTTGCCGGAAATTTAAATCTAAGCTCGATCTCTGATTTGCAATATTAACAGTAGACTGTACTGCAGAGCTAGGGCTGTCATAAATCCATCTCTTCAGCAGGTCCCTCCTGCAATATACTGTTAATATAAAAACAGTGGCCTATATTGCAGGGTTGTTGTACACTGCTTTCTGCAGACTGATATGGCAGGGATAGCCATATCTGAACTTCAGCCCCAACCTGTAGTTGGTTCAGCAACTGGACTACATATTAGGGTTGTTGTAAACCATGCAAGGAGCTGCAGCCTGATGCCCACCTTGCAATATTTAGAGGAAACTGTGGGACTATTGTATTACCCAAAGCCTCTTCCGCCCTTTAATATGAGGATAATGGACTGCATTTGTATTGGAATATGCAGTGGTAAGTAAGGTTGTTTTTTAAAATGTTGGAAAATGGAAGCGACATTCAGTTTTTTGAGCAAAATGAAACTTATCTTGTAGATTTTACTCTGTTTTAATTTTATGTTGGTTGTTTGCAAGTAGCTTCGGGTTCCCTTTTGTAAAAAAAAAGAAAAAAAGTGACTAAAAAGTGCAATTATTATTATTATTAAATAAATTATTATTTTGCACAATCACAGCTATCTATGCCGTAGCTTGGATTCCCCAATTCCAAGGTCGGCCAGGAGACATTTAAAAATGCCTTCTCGGATCTAAACCCGGATGCAGCGCATAGAGAAAATGAGATAGTCGTCTTCAACTTTTTAATATCTCTGCCTCTCGGCGGACGTGATTGAAGGCAATAGAAATGGAAAGGAAAAGAGGATTGCTTAAATATTCAACCCTCACTTCTGGTTCTGATTGGAATGCCTCCACGTGCGGGGCAGTAATGCAGAGAAAGAGAAATGCGTCTCTTAAGGTCCACGAGTAAGCTTGCAATTCTATACTGCACACCCTTACCTGGAAGTAAGTCCCATTGAACCGAATGGGACTTACATCTAAGTAGAATTACTCCTGTTTAGTTTTCAAGGTGCCGGAATGCAGGGCTTTGTCTTGTTATAAGCCAGCGGCTACTCTTCAGAGTCCCGATACACTTGCAAGACACGATGAGTCATGATTTATTAAGACATTTCTGCGAAGCGACAGATCCCTTTTTTAAAATTAATTTTTATTTAATACATAATCATATTGCTATGATTAATGTATGTATTGTGCAAACTGGAGAAATTTCTTCCTTGTAACCTTATCTGTCTAGTTTTCTTTGAAAATAATAATAATAATAATAATAATAATAATAATAATACGTCTGTAATGGGATACCTCTGTCCCTTTATTTGTTTGCATTGATTTTTTTGGAGTCCCCTCCCCAATATTTTTTAGAGGGATCGCTTCAGTTTTAGCGTTTGCTTATTCCAGCACCCTATCCTATAGTATATAGTATAGTATATTGTATTTTAAAATGGTGTTTCAGAGTTGTAAGGGTTTTTTGAATGTTTTACGTAGATTTTCAGTTTTATTCTTCTGTATGGGACAATGACAATAAAGATATCGTATATCATTGGGATTTTGATGGCATGTTGATATGATGTCGACATTTTGCTTGGGGTTTTATCCCTGCAATTCGAGTGAACCCCCCCCCCCAGCACACTTTGGTCGCCTTAAATACCAATTAAATATTAAAATTAATCAGGGAAATGCCCTTTTTTCCTCCTCCTCAACCTCAGCCGGCGTCGCATTGGACTCCCGTGCGTGTAGGCGGGCGGCTGCCTCTCGCGGCTCCCTTAACTCTTGAAGGCGGGGTCAGCAGACGCGAGAACGAGGCGGTTATAAAAATAAAGGTCCGGAAGTGGGAGGGGCGAGGATAGGCCCCACCCCTCGCGCTCTGCGTGGCTCCGCCTCCTCCCAGCCGGCTGCTTTCCGCACTCCGCATCTCGCATCTGTCAGTCGCTGCTTCGTCGCCGGCGGAACAAGATGGCGGCTCGGGTGAGTGGACGGCTGAATGACGGCGGGGGGGGGGGGTTAGAGATAGTGACGTGTCAGCTCGGCGGCTTCTGCCTCCCATTCATTCTCTTAGCAGCCCACCGCCCTTCCACCCAGCCCAGTTAGGGAGGCTTCCCTTGTTCTCTATGACACTGCTGCGTATGTGCCATACATTTTCAGCTCATCCCACACCGCGCCCTTTAAAGAACACCCCTTGGGAACTATAGCCTGTTAAGGGTGCTGGGAACTAAGGTTCCCGGGATTCTTAGACCTGGGGATCATAGCCTGTTAAGGGTGCTGGGAATTCCTGTTCTGAGGATTCTCAAACCTGGGTATTATCACTTGTTAAGGGTGCTGGGAGCTACAGTTCCCAGGATTCTTAAACCGGGGAACTATCATCTGTTAAGGGTGCTTTGACCTACCGTTCCCAGGATTCTTAAACCTGGGGATTATCTCTTGTTAAGGGTATTGGGAGCTACAGTTCCCAGGATTCTTAAACCTGGGGATTATCACTTGTTATGGGTGCTGGGAGCTACAGTTCCCAGGATTCTTAAACCGGGGAACTGTTGCCTGTTAAGGGTGCTGGGTGGTACAGTTCCCAGGATTCTTTTGAGGTGTGCTCTTCAAATTCACGGCGTGTGCGCACTCGGAGACCCGAGTGCAGATCCTGCGCCACAGAGCCTTGAGTGGTGCGGTGCCCTCCCCCTCAGGCTAGCCCACCTCGGTGAGCTGTTGCGAAGGGGCACACAGTCAACCTCTTTCTGCCTTCCGTTTATTCTCGGTGGGTCCGCTTGCTGGAAGATAAATGGGTCTGTTCAGCGTGCTGGAAAAGAAGAAAAACAGTGCGCCGCTCTCGCGCTGGGTCTCTCAGTCATCTGAGCATTGTAGCTGAGACGTTGGAGAACAGCTCACTTTTTTGCATTCTTAATGTAAAATGGCTTTCCTCGAAGGCGGCTTGGCAAAAATGTGCCTCCCCATCTCACCCCCGGTCTGTTACCCTTAAATAGGACATTGCAGGAAGAAGGGCAGCCTGAAGGGTTAATGCCGGAATTGTATGCTGTGTCATAAATACTTCTGGGTGACCTGGAGTTAATAAGCTGTTACTGCAACAAGAGTGTCTGGTGGGTGAAAAGCTGGGAGGATCAAGCTGTTTATGCGGTGAGCACCTTTACTGCAATGCACACTTGGCTGGCAAGTGGAAGACTCTGTCTTCGGGTTGCATATGAACCGAACTCGTGGCGATGCTGCTGGTTACAATGATGTCAGATTGCTGTTGCTTTATTTTCCTAGTGACCCAACATGTGCCTAGTACTTTGCATCCCCTAGAATGACGGGTGCAGTGCAGGCAGGTTAGCAATTGGGGAAAGGCTAATGGATGTACCTTTCTCACGTTTGTTTACCTTCTGTTACACAGATACTCCCCAACACCAAAAAGGCTTTATTGGCCTTATGCCATGAAGAATATCCATTTAGTATATAGAAGGAGGAGTGTTGATTCAGGATCATTTAAAATGTTCTCCCTCCCTGCAGATTGTGGCAGATTATGGAAGCTTCGGGAGGGATGATATATAGGGGAACAAACCAGGATGTAACACAACAGGTGATTGGGGATTTTGGAAGCATAATAGTGGTTTTCCGCAAAACGTCGTCATCCAGAATTGTAGCAGGTTTGGTTCTTCCACTGGCTTGTGGTAATGGTTCAGTGAAAAACCCGTTACTTGAGTTGTGAGAACAACAGCGTATGCCTGTAGGATTTGGCTTAAAATGCAGAAACTAGCATTAAAATAAATGGTAGTGAGCTCCCTCCATTGGAACACTTCTCCATAAGAGTAAGGAGGAAGTGACAATGGTCAAGTCTCAAAATGCTCATGATAACTCTGATAACTATGAAAAAAATTTGGAGGCAAAATGCAAAAGTATTTAAAAGTCCATCCATGCTTATTGCTTTCTTGTTCAAAGAAGCAGGCATGGCACAAAGGAAAGTGAACCAAGGATTTAACTGGCCCTTTGCCATATAAACTGGTACATACTGGAAATGTTTTCCTAAGTAACCCCTTCCCATTAGTTGCGTTGATTCTGCTTAATTATTGGAGATGCTGAATGCACACTCTGTGGCAGCAATATGTCCTTTCTACCTGCTGTATTATTATTATTATTATTATTATTATTATATTTGAATTTCACAGAACAAAAGCAAAATATAAAACCACAAAATATATAATCAAAATAAAAACAACAACCCAATAACCCCCTCCAACACATTTTAAAAGGGCGTAGGATGCCAGATCAACCAAAGGCCTGTTTATAAAGGAATGTTTTTGCCTGGTGCCTAAAGGTGTATACTGAAGGCACCAGGCGAACTTCCCTTGGGAGAGCATTCCACAGATGGGGAGCCACTGCAGAGAAGGCCCCGTTCTCGTGTTGCCACCCTCCGGACCTCTCATTATACAAGACTGAGCAATGGAGATTGCACACATGACACTATCCCTGTAACTGTGACCAGACTATTGCTTGGGGTATCCCACACTAAGATTGGGGAGAGGTGAAACCAACAGGAACACCATGATGGGGATTTAGAAGATGATGAGGAAGACTGGTCTCCGTGAGTGGAACAGAAGATGGGCAGTCACTCTCTCATATTTGCAGGCCTGGATGAGTGGCATAAACTTCTTGTCAGACACACATAGGTCATCTTTCCTGCTATGAATTACTGTGATAAATAACCCTCTGCAATTGCCCCTCTTCACATTTCAGCAGACACTAAAAGTTGCTTCTTTCCCTTCGTACAAATCTTGATGTGCGCAAGGAAGAAAGGCATAATTTATCTATCGCTCACTCATAAGTGATTGCTGACATGCATCTCAGGCACATACATGCTCAGTGACCAATGAAACGCACAAATACTATTTTACACAGAGTATTGTTTTGGTCTCCGTCTCTGGGTCAGTGGGTTCTCACAGTTGAGCTGAGAGGTTCTGCTTGTCATATGTGGCCAGGCAGGTCTGCGATTATGAGTCCCCTAAATCGACACAGAGTTCTCTGTTGATCTTGCTCCACCATAAACATGTGACTCACCCTGTGGAATTTCTCTAGGACCCCAGGCACACACCTTGGGTGAATGAGCTCTCAGAAGCATCTGTTGTTATCAACTGATATTTTTTTAAAAAATAAAATTTATTAGATTTTCCACAATTATAACAAAAACCACAAAGCAAAATAACACACAAAAACAGAAAGAAAAGGAAAATACATCAATAAAAGAAAAAAAGAAATAAAACAATAAACAGATAATCAATAACAACAAACTTAATTCTTTACAAATCCAACCTTTTAAACATCTTGGTTGACTTCCTCTAGTCCCTCCTTTCTGAGTTTCCTTGTAATTGAAAGTAACAGCTTCCCAATATCATTATTAAACTAAATTTCCAATTATAATCCATCTTATTCACTTTTCTTAATATTCTAAATCCCATTTATTTAATTATAACCTAATCCTCAACTGATATTTGGCCTTGTGTGTGGCAGAAATGACACCTCATGCAGAAGGTGCATGTTCTTAGCTGGATAGCTATCTTCTTATATAACAATCTACAGCAAGGATGGGATCCTTTAGCTGAAATTGCCAGGGCAATTTAAATCACCAGATTTCTGGCATCAACATCAGTGATGAAAAATGTCAGACTAATATGTTTTCCATGGAGTAACTTTTCTCGGTGGCTCCCAGAACTAGGGACAGGCAGGTATCTATCTCTAGCTCATCTCTTTTTTTTTCATATGTTCATTTGTGGGTTATTTCCACCCCATTTCTACCTTTATCTGCAACTTTTATTTTAGTCCTCACAAAAACGTGTGTGTAGATATTAACTTAAATAAGTAACATAAAATGTGTGTTCTCTCAAACTACACATTTCTAAACCTATTTTGAGCATCATAGTGTTTCAGAAGTGTGAAAGGCAGTCCAGAAGTTGCAGATCAGGTCTGTTCTTATAGTAGGAATTCACAATTAACAAATTCCCCACTCAGAGGTTGAGCTAAAATCAATCAAACACATTTCCTGTTTAATGTGTTTGAGAGTTTTGTTCACTCTTCTTAGGAGAACACTGAAACCCAAATCAGATATGATTTGTTTGTGATTTGATTGTTACCTGTTATACGATTTGATACTGTGCATATTTACTCCCAAGTTAAATGTGCATAAGATTGCTGCTTTGGTCATTTTAGGCCACATTCGTGAGGAAAAGGACTGGCTAAATTTTACTCGCCTTAGCTGAGTGGCTGTTTATAGACTGGATTTATTATTGTTATTGTTATTAGTATTTAAATTTGTATACCACCCTTCATCCAAAGATCACAGGGCGGCTCATAACAGAAAAATGTAGAATGAGAACACAAAATACATCATTAAAAAAATCTGAAAACAACCTGAAAACAAAAACCAAACCAATAACCCACAAACACATGGTGCTGGAGAAGACTCTTGAGAGTCCCATGGACTGCAAGAAGATCAAACGCATCCATTCTTAAGGAAATCAGCCCTGAGTGCTCACTGGAAGGACAGATCCTGAAGCTGAGGCTCCAGTACTTTGGCCACCTCATGAGAAGAGAAGACTCCCTGGAGAAGACCCTGATGTTGGGAAAGATGGAGGGCACAAGGAGAAGGGGGTGACAGAGGACGAGATGGTTGGATAGTGTTTTCGAGGTTACCAGCATGAGTTTGACCAAACTGCGGGAAGTAGTGGAGGACAGAGGTGCCTGGCGTGCTCTGGTCCATGGGGTCACGAAGAGTCGGACACGACTAAATGACTAAACAACAACAACAACAACAAAGAGTGTTGAATCAGCCAAAGGCCTGGTTATAGCGAAAAGTTTTTGCCTGCTGTGTAAAGATATGTAATGAAGGCTCCAGGCGAGCCTTCCTGGGGAGAGCATTCCACAGGTGGGGAGCCATCCCAGAAAAGGCCTGTTCTTGTGTAGCCACCCTCTGGGCTTCTCATGGAGGAGTC